AATTCTCTTTCGGCTTCCGGTGAGACCATTTCACGAATTTATTCCAACCAACTTTGCCTTCGAAAGAAAAAGTCATGTCAAAATTGAAGGAGATTACCTCGGGGACAGCGTCAATTAGAATGTTTTAGTAAGGCTTAGAACAATTGGCCACGGTTTTCTTGAATATCATAGCTACAAACCTTCACTCGAAATAGAAATGAGCCCAACAAGAATAGCATACAAGTAAGATTAATATCAAAATTAAGTTGAGTTGGAAGCTTGCTGAGACAATAAAGTACCTATTGTGAGATGAAATTGTGAATTACGAAACAATTTTAATTCAGAAAAATATAATATAAATACACCCTCAGAAATATACTTCTCCATAGTGAATACAATTCGCAATGACTGTAGTTGATTCAGGATAGACCATCAAAATTTTTGGCAGATCTGAAAACATAGCTAGATTTATTTTGTGTATAAAATAAAAATGAACTTGAAAGAACTAAGAAATAACCATATTTATATATGAATAGCTGGAGCTCCACCACCGAACATTGCATAATTTATAGGAATGGGGAAATAAGAAAAGTGAGAATTTGGCTATTGGAGTACAGCTAGGTTAATTATAAACTTAATAAATGCACAAACCAGATCACATTGAGAGCGCTAAGATTCTTTAAAACTCACCACTTCGTTTATTAAGTAGTTCAGAATGTTCTGGTCCCTCTGGATTAACAGAATCTGAGCCAAGGTCCGTAATGCGCGAATGATGAGGCGATGTATCAGTTACCCGTTTTCTCATGGAAATGGCCGCAGCAGAAGCCGTTTCAATCGCTTCCTCTTCCTCAGATTGGGCCCAGGCCATTGGCTTGATGGTACTTCTTGGACGAGCATCACCTCTCCGACCGGTATGCCTCAAACTGCGCTGGTCAGCAAAGGAGTCTCGAATCTGCCGGCGTGAACCAGACACCAAACGTTCTCGATGCCTGCCATAAGACAAAGTTCCCTCTTCCTCTTCATTACCAGCCACTTCACATCCTAGCCTAGTCATTTGCGTATTTCGGCTCCGATTTTCTGTTTCTCGGTCAATCCGATGAGAGTATCGATTACGCTGAATGTCTCGATAATCTGCAGGTGAGCGATCCCGATCTCGATAGATCAAATCTCGTTCGCGGCGATCACAGCCTGGCGATTCAGCCGCATAGTCGCGAGAACGATGGCGTCTAAAAAGAGTAAATGAGATGGATTGTGTAGTAATATTGTAATTAAGAAATTTGCCGAATTAAAATGTTTATCAGTCCCTCCTAATTATTTTATTCAATTTGGTGTCTCACTCCAACAACCATATCATAATTATGAAATAAAAATAACCTA